TGGGCATAGTATACCCACAAAAACTTTACAGTGAATAGCGTCATACATCTTTCTAGCAACGATTTGAGTAGTTTCAGTACGCAACGAACAAGTTTTCAAAAAGAACCCTAAAAGATCCCGGAAGGGCGTGGCTGGCTGATTTTTATCCYCTAAGATATTTGGCTGGGAAAATGGGATTGCCCGATGCACTGGGACTGGGATTTKTAACTCTGACTACTGGGAATGAGAACCAGAACATTGAATGAGAGTGGGATTTATWTATTTAATCTATTTCAAAGGACGTAAAAAAATCTAGAAAGATACTGAAAATATTGGCAAAGCAATTTACACAAAAATGAACCATTTATAGTACAGGTTCTAGCTAAAAAAAACTTGTGTAGTACAAAAACGACATAACTAAACATAAGGAAGCCTCGAATGTCACAAAATTAGCATTTCAGAAACGTTGATTTATTTGTTTATTTTGAAAATTAAATATTTCTATGAGTGTGGGGTACTCCCATATATTTGCTATACGGGATGTGTTTTTGGCCTTGCTATCTTAAACAGGGTATACATTTTTATATGTAATAGGACTCCATGCTGTCCAATCAAGAAATAATTGGACGAGGAAAATTCCGAGDACTGMMRARAATTGGAYRRGGCCGTGGCCGAGTCCAATTTGGCAGTCAGAGGAATTTTTCGAGTCTAATTATTTCTTAATTGGACAGCATGGAGTCTTATTACCTATTAAGTTATATAGCCACATATTGATCCCAAATAGGTAAAAGCCAACCACAGCTTTTAACAATAACAGTAAAAAATTAACCCCCCAAAAAATTAACCCAAAAAAATTAACCCAATTGAAAACCTGTCCAATTAATTTCTTAATTGGACAGGATTCCAAAATTAACGAAAAATCCAGCTTTTACCTATATGGGATTAATATGTGGCTATATAATTACACCCTAAATTGTCTTAAACAGGCTCTACAATTTAGATAAAAGACCGATATAATTTTTTTTGTGTCTTGGACAGGGTAATATTTTCATAAGAAATATTTTACTAGGATTAACGTGTTATTAAAACCTTCTTATTGTCTACGATGGATGTCAGTATAATTGCAGTACACACTCCCTAAAAGATTCCATGGCCAATCACGAATTTTTACCGCTAAAAGAGATTCGACGAGCATCCCCGGCATCACCGGAGTGWGTGAAAAATTAACATTGTATGTAAAAACGTTTTGAAAAGTCTCCTCAATGCAATTCTATTTGAGCTATATAAAATTATCCCGGGATAACTGGTTTTAAAACAATATTGAAGATTTAACGCGATTTAATTTATTCRGGAAAATTGTTTATATGTCACGGCATAGTACTTCATCAAGCTGACAGCTTGAAATAATAATATTCTTGTCCTTTTCTGCTATTATAAGGCTGAAATATTTTATTCAAGACCAAACCTAATCTCTTTTTAAAACTTTCCTTGGAAATGGCATTTTAAAAGCACGTGTGTGCCAGAGATGTCAACAAAGAGTGAATTTCGGCTAAAATACCACTTACAAAAATATTCGCCAAAAATCACGATTTGAATTGCCCCAAAATTTTATTCCATATTTTGAATAAGCTATCTTAAGACGTTAAAACAGTTATGATTTCAATGTCTAAATCGATATAACATCGGAGTTATTTGGGCTTTATTTATGCATAGTAAATTTAGCTCGAAAAAATGTTAATTAATGAAAAKTCYGTAAAATATTCTCTTTCCAATATTTTATTGCAATATTTTGTAATATAACAAAGAWATATATATATTTTGTAGAGGAAATTCGATTTCTTTTCAAAACGAAGAAAGTTTGCTGTTATTTTGCGTTTTGTACAGTGCACTAAATTAAGCGAAAAAACCGGAAGTAAACATTGAAATCAAACATTGTCGCTTTTCTTCCCGAATATAATCCCGATTGAACCCAAACTCACACAGCATGACCAGCTCACCAAATGCAATTTTATGACAAAGTTTGAAGGATTTTGAATTTTCTCATTTTACCAACCTTGCTTGACGGTCTCGGAAAACCGCTCTTAATACTCCCGCCTTTGTCGGTCGTTGACCCCCAGATCCAAAACATATGTCTCGTTCCCTGACATGTGCATAAAACGTCCATGATACGCGCCTGACTAATGGAAATCTAAATTCGAAGACTGGTTGTTATGGGATTGAAATTGACCAAGGTATGAATTTTTTTTGGCAACTATTGAGTTTTTCAATGTCACATAAATTGAAGATGTAGAAGCTGAAAAACACTGATTTATTAGACATAACAAGCACAAGTAATATCAAAGTCGTTTTTAACCATAAAAACGTTACATAAGCCTTTACTTTTGGACCTTGAAAACCTTTGCCAGGAACAAAATTATTTGAGAGAAGCAAGGGCCATGAAGGGCGCCACATTTGCTTGTAAGGTTTTCAACAATGTAGCCGATGTGAAATCTCTTTAATTTACCCAGGAACAAATTCATACAAGAACAGTTATTTAGCAGAACAGACCCCGTCAGCTCCTCACACTGAAAAGGTTTGCATTTGCACCTAGATCCAGGTGAATGAGACACCTGGATCTAGGTGTAAAGGCAACAATCATATTTTTACTGGAATAAGACACCTCTTGCATTTTGAATTTTGCGTTGCTACAGTTAACTCGACACGCTTGCGCTTGTTTTAAGGGTGGGGGTGGGAGTGGTGGTGAAAATTTTGAAATAAATAACTCTTGGAAATGCGATTTCCAGCGTTTTGAGAGACATCGAAAATTATGAAACTTAAGACCCCCCATCTGCCCCCCCCCCCCGCCGCTCCTGGTAATTATTGCACAGTCCCTTATGCCATCGGCGCGCGTCACAGACATTTTTGAGACTTTTTGCATTACGTCATACCACAGGATAATCCACAAAGCGCCGCGCCGATTGCTTCTCATTCCCTCAAGCAAAGGTTGGGTGGACTATTTTTCGCCCTGAATCCAATCTCGTGCGATCTCGAGCTCCTCGTCTCGAAGCGCTTTGGCTAAAACGCCCATGTACAATCAAAATCGTATTAAACCATGCATTGATCTACTCATGTTATAAATGTTTATAAGCATATTTGTCGCACAATTTAATATTTTGAATTCCTAGTTTAATCTTGTTACAAACCGTACTATTTGCGATTATAGTTGACAGACTTTGTGTCAATGCGTCCACTAAACGAATAAAATGCTGGAAAAACCTAGGGACAACCGTATTTAATTACATTATCTTACAACTAAACCGATCAGAAGAATTAATATGTTCTCTCATCTTCTTAAGGTTGTTTCTCAGTTGTATAACTGTAGTCATCTCACCAGAATTGTTTGCTAGTGTTTGCAGTGTTTCAGAGTCGGCATCAATTCCATCCTGATAGGCTTCTTTAAGAGCTGCTTTCACTCTCTCAAGGGGTGGAAATCCGACTGGAAAGATTCCCTTCCCCATGAACTTTGCAATGTCTTTTGTTGCGTCCTCGTTTTTAACCTGTTCTACGAGCTCTTCTCTCTCTTCGTCCTCAAGGCTTTCACAGCCAGTGATGACCAGTGCTGAAATATCTTGTATTTCCTTGAAGTTCTTCGCAATAGATTTGAACAGTTTGAGCTCTTTTTCTTCATGCAAAGCGCCATTTTTCATCGTGAAGATAACGAGATTGATTCCATCAGGGACGTCCTCCTTATCCTCTGAACAGTAACCTGAGAGATCTTGTGGACTAGTCTTCCCTGACGTCTCTGTACTGTAGGTGTCCCATATAACGATGTTATATAGCAGTTTTCGATGGTCATCTCTTGCAGAACAAGTCACCAATGTCGGCTCTCTTGTATTATTCTCCATCGAAGAGCTTGACAGTTGAAAGACCGTGGACGGCGTGGAATTTTTGACGATGTGGTTTGCCAAGGTTTTCTTTCCAGTTCCCGTTCTACCTATTATAAGAATATTCCTTTTTTGAAATATTACATCTTCGGCATAGTTAGTATGATCTTTGGCCATGATGATAGAATCGGTATGCTCGTTGAAGCTATTAGAAGTCTGGAGTCTGGTTTTGTTGTTCTTCTCCAGCGAGCGACGGGAAGTTGTTTAACCTGAAAAGCCTGTTTCAAAAGATGGGCGGTACCGACATATTTGCATAATACATTATCAGACCCTACCCTTCTGTCTGAAACTCATAAATGTTTCATGTAATATCGATCCATTTAATGTCTTTAATCATTTCTTGACTGTTTTCGAGGTTTTTCATATACAGATCTACTTTTCTACGATCAAAAGTTCGCAATCCATTATAGGTTATGTTATCAATAACTCCCATTTTATTAGGCGATTAATTTTGCATTGACCTCTGTCAGTTACAGGTGAGGTGATAGTAGTTTAAACTAGGTAATTTTCTTTTCAACACTGGTTGAATAACTGAGTCACTCTTTGAATCTTCAAGAAAGCTCTAGATTACGTTCGGTTCTATGTTGTTTCCCCGCGTCTCTTTGACCCCCCATCGCTGGCTATTTCATGTACAAAACAGCCTTTGTGGACTTGATAAAGGGAGATGGAGACAACGGTATTCAGCAGGAGATCATTTCATTCAGTGCCCGCCCTTGTAATCCCAGTGGCGTGCCAGCAGAGCACCCTCACACATCAATTATATTGTGAAAAAAAAAGCTTGTTGCCGTTGAAAATTTCTTTTCATATGAATAGAATAAACCGAATCTTTTCGAGTAATGTTTTCTTTTTGATTTTCGAGCCTTCTCAGCTTTCTCATCCGAGTTCAAAAATCAATTCGGTATTAATATGACACATTGCTTCAGTTTGTTAGTATTCAAATCAGCGTTTTCCGCAAAGCGGGATAGTTGAATTCATTGCAGTTTCAGATTTTTGAGAAAAGATGAGCGTGTTCTCCTGCAGCGCAATCATTAATTCCAGCCAAAACATGGCGGTGTATTAATTGATCAGTGGCTAATCGCAGCTTGGTGCTTAACAGTTTTTTTTTTGTTGTTGTTTATTTTATACGAGTTGAATAGAAGATTCCGAGAAACTGAGGATTGGTCATATCACGCAGTCCTAGTGTTCTTGAGTATTAAAAATTAATATTTCTACCATAGTTAACCACGGTTTACTATTAATTATGTTTCTACTTAATGAGGGCAAGTTCTTAGGAAGTTGGTTATTATTATAAGTAAACATTAGAATAGGTATTACCAGTGTATTTATATCAAAAATATTAAGTATGTTATTCTCTTTGTTATTCTCATCATAACCGAAAGTTAATACCATCTCGCTACTGAGCAAGTCGTCGACAGCATCAAATGTCCCGAAAATCTATATTTAGAAAAAAAAATCACAACGCGCGCACACGGCACCTGATTGGTCCTTGTTAATACTACTTCAAGAGAAAGAAAATTTAGTCGATGGAGGCGAACGCACTGCTGAAATTTGCATTACAAGAATTTTACAACTTTTGCGAAACAACCATTTCTGAATTTGATATAAAAAACATATTTAACTATATGAGCAATGTAGCGAGTAGTTACAGAGCAATATGGTCTGTGAAAACGGGGGAAAACTTCAGACTAGTTTTCATGTCAAATGTTCAGTTTAATGTACTAAATTACCTGTACTTGACAAAAAAATTACAACAATTATCTCAACTGGAAATAAAGGCCTCAGCCTTTGCAAAAGCATCACGGAAAGAAAAATACAATGTTGAGCTAGTGAACTATTGTAACAAATGTTATATAGATAAGTCTGATGATCTAAAATTGTTGATATTTAAAGTTCTTTTTATATTGTGTGCCTAATTCATTCATTAAAAGTTCAATATAGTACTTCAGGGATTTAAATAAAATTGCACGTAGCCTAGACGTCTTAAAATGAGTGAGTGAAATCAGTTCAGATTATTGATATTAGCCAGTGGTTGAAAAACCTTTCAAAGGATGGTACATTCAGCCACCTTTTCCCAGAAGGTTGGTTCAAAAAGTTCTTTGCCGAGTCGCATTTCACCAGACTTTTTCACTAGATTTCTTAGAATCTCCTCATCGTTTTTTATGTCGTCTTCCAAAGTTTTTCTCATCTTTTTGGCTTCAGGAAACCCCACAGCATAAATACCTTTTCCCATTAATTCTGCAGTTTGACCTGCGTGGCTGCTGAAGTCGGCAATGATTTTCTTTCTTTCTGCGTCGTCTTCACCGTCACAGTTGGTTATTATTAAAGCACACATGTCAGAGATGTTGCTCTTAAAGTTGTCAGTAATAAACTTGAAGGTGTCCTCTTCTTCCTGGGTGTAACGTCCCTGTCTGAAGACGAACAGCACCAAGGTAATCCCTTCAGGTATATTCTTGTTAAAGTACTCTTTGATTTCCTTTATTATGGCTGCGTTGGTTCTTCTGGCGGTATTTGGACTATTATCGAACAGGCCAATTGTATCTATGACCTTGATATCGTAACGTACGTTAGATTGTTGATCATCCAAACTGACTTCGCAATGGCTAACTTTAGAAGTGACACTTTTGGCTGTTTTCAACACTTTGAAAGTATCAGATGCAGAAATTCTGTTAGCAACTGTAGATTTCCCTGACCCTGTTTTGCCGAGAACTACAACGTTGCGCTTCTGTATCATTTTGATTGATGTGGCCATAATGCAAAGAAAACGCCTTACAAACGATCTCTAGCTGCAGACAGAAACTGAATGTGACTTGTTTTATCGTGAGTTGAACTAGAATGATCGACTAAAAAGTCTTTGTGGACTAGTTTGGTTGTCAATCAAAATTAATCGTTATGACCAATCAAATACGCAGGACATAACAGTATCATGCATCAATTTGCATGATGGGAGTTGTAGTCCATCCACTTTTTATCGAACCTAAAAAAATTTTTCTATGTGCCTTTTCGTATTTTTTGTATTTTTTTTTTTTAATTGAAACAGCCTTGGAAATACTTCTGTTTTGCCAAAGAAAAAGCGAAAAACTGTATTGGAGGACTGTATTATTGTATTATCATGCTCTGTTGCACAAAATGGCGTCGCACATTTGGTTTTAAAATTTCCTTTCGTTTTTTTTTTTTTTTTGCTTTTTGTGTCGTTTTGTTTTCTTTGCTCTAACAGTATACAAAAATAGTAGCTCCTGCATTTAGATTCGGAGAAGAGATAAGCCCGCCGGGATGTAATTCATGTCTGAAGTCGGAGAACTAGCATCTGTGCCGATGCGTTATATACCGTGCATAGCAAATGCTTCGTCCTCATCAGTATTATCAAATTGCTTAAATCAGCAAATCAAAAGAAAATTCAAAATGTGACTGAAACCGCCGATCCGAAAACCTCTCTCGACATAACATTTATAACCCTGTCTTTCGTCATCAGCGATTTAGTCCATAAAAACAGTTTGTTTTCACAAGAAAATTTCTTAGGTGAAAAATTTGTTTCGGAACTATAAAGACATATTATTGCTTTTTATTGAAGTTTGCTCTAATTACAAATCAAAACGTAAACTACTGATCTACACTCATGGTATAAATGTTTATAATAAGCTTATTTGTCGTACTGTTTTATATTTTGAATTCCTTAGTTTAGTGCTGGAAAAAACTAGGTACACAGGTATTTTTAAATCTACAATATCTTACAGCTAAACTGATTATATCTATCATCAGAAGAATTGCCGATGAGCTCTTTCATCTTTTTAGAAATGTTTTGCAGTCCTATAGTCATCTCGCCAGAATTGTTGGCCAGTGTTTGCAGTGTTTCAGAGTCGGCATCAATTCCATCCTGATAGGCTTCTTTAAGAGCTGCTTTCACTCTCTCAAGGGGTGGAAATCCGACTGGAAAGATTCCCTTCCCCATGAACTTTGCAATGTCTTTTGTTGCGTCCTCGTTTTTAACCTGTTCTACGAGCTCTTCTCTCTCTTCGTCCTCAAGGCTTTCACAGCCAGTGATGACCAGTGCTGAAATATCTTGTGTTTCCTTGAAGTTCTTCGCAATAGATGTGAACAGTTTGAGCTCTTTTTCTTCATGCAAAGCGCCATTTTTCATCGTGAAGATAACGAGATTGATTCCATCAGGAACGTCCTCCTTATCCTCTGAACAGTAACCTGAGAGATCTTGTGGACTAGTCTTCCCTGACGTCTCTGTACTGTAGGTGTCCCATATAACGATGTTATATAGCAGTTTTCGATGGTCATCTCTTGCAGAACAAGTCACCAATGTCGGCTCTCTTGTATTATTCTCCATCGAAGAGCTTGACAGTTGAAAGACCGTGGACGGCGTGGAATTTTTGACAATTTGGTTTGCCAAGGTTTTCTTTCCAGTTCCCGTTCTACCTATTATAAGAATATTCCTTTTTTGATATATAACATCTTCGGCCATGATGATAGAATTGGTATGCTCGTTGAAGCTATTAGAAGTCTGGAGTCTGGTTTTGTTGTTCTTCTCCAGCGAGCAACGAGTTTAACCTGAAAAGCCTGCTTCAAAAGAGGGGCGGTACCGACATATTTGCATAATAAATTATCAGCCTCTACCCTTCTGTCTGAAACTCATACATGTTTCATGTAATATTGATCCATTTAATCATATCTTGACATCAATGTTTTCGAGGTTTTTCATATACAGATCTACTTTTCTACGATCAAAAGTTCGCAATCCATTATAGATCATTGCATTCTCAGGCGGCTCAAAAGTCATAACATGCATGTTATGATGTTATCAATAACTCAGTCCCATTTTATTAGGCGATCAATTTTGCATTGACCTCTGTCAGTCACAGGTGAGGTGATAGTTGTTTAAACTAGGTAATTTCTTTTCAGCACTGGTTTTACTGTATAACCAAATCTTCGAATCGCAAAGAAAACTCTACATTGCGTTCGTTTCTTTGTTGTTTTTCCGTCTCTTTGACCCCCCATCGCTGGCTCTGCATACAAAACAGCCTTTATGAATCGGAGACATTAACGGTATTCAAGTTGAAAGAAAAGTTGGTCATTTCATGCACACAATATTTTTAAACAAAATCAAAAAGTCTTGGTGGCCCGATTTTTTTGAAATAAAATATTTTGGAGTAATGTTTTCTTTGTGTAATCTTCGAGCCTTGCCAGCGTTCTCATTCGATAGTTCAAAAATCAATTCGGGACTAATCATACATTCCTTCAATTGTTTTAGTGTTCAAAACAACCTTTTTCCGCAAAGCGGGGTAGTTGAATTCCTTTACAGTTTCAGGTTTTTGAGAAAAAACGAGCGTGTCTCCTACAGTCAAAACATGGCGGTGTTTTAATTGATCAGTGTTATTTGTTACGCTCCCCATCGCGTTGAACACCGAGTTTTTTGTTTATTTTATACGAGTAGAGTAGAAGATTCCGAGAAAAGGATTGGTCATTTGATATCACGCAGTCCTAGTGACTAATTATTCTTCATGCATTATACCTAGTTATTTCCCACGGTCGAGCTTCATTCATGCTTTCCAGGAATGGTAATTTTTTTAAATTGAAAATTCAACTAACTTATAGTTGTAATGATTAACTCAGGAATACTTATATGACCAATGATATTCATCTTAAAACTCACTGTTATCAACAAATTCAGTACGAGCCGGCATTATTCATATGTCTTGATCATTATTTAACGCAGGCAAAGAAAATATTCACGAGCCTTTTTCCCGTTCAATGCGAGCAACCACTGGTTTAGTACACAAAAGACTCACTTGTGTAGAAAACAAAAGAAAGCAAGAAGAAAGCACAAGACCTAGAGTGTAAGCCTTCTTGGAATACAGGGCTGAGGCTTAGCCTCAAATCGGAGAAAATGCCAATTTTTTCATGCTTTCATTTGTTTTTGGCAAAGTCTCTGTGCATGAGTGACTGTTGTCAACTAAAACAGTGGTTGCATAACAGGAAAAAGGTGTATTGTGAGCATAAAAGTGTGCGATTTTAAGTAAATTTTATTGTCTTTCTTCACAAACGCCGCCATGTGTTTTCTCGGGCTGTCAATGAAACAAAACTATATGTTACTTGGTTTTGAGGCCAAACACAGCAAACCAGAACTCGAAATTGTAGTATTCATTACATTTGATTTATAGAAATTTAACTAATACCAATAATATAATAATAATAATCTACTGTTATTGTTATTCAGATGTCATGTGGTTGCAAAAAGATATAAAAGGCCTTTAGCAAAATGGATGATTTCACTTCCCCCAAGTTTGGATTCGCCGTATACACGGTCAACAAATGAAATAGGGACCTGAAAAAAAAAAAAAAAAAACAGTTTTAACTGTTAAAACAATTAAATAGTTTGATAAAATAACAGAAGAGAGACAAAAAAATCTTGATAATGACAGTAACAGAGATGATGAAAATGGCAGTTGTCAAGTGGCAATAGTTTTGTAGATGTTAACATAAATGTATGTGTTTTAAGTGGAGGGACAATGTGCACTTTTAAGGTATCTGGGGATAGTTGTTTTTAGTACCGACCATTACGAAAGAAGCGCATCGAAATGCAGTTTATTTTGCTTTGATCCGGTCAATATTTTGTCAAATGAAGGATAAAAGACCAAATTAAGGGATTTGCAAAAACTAGTGGCTTTATCAGTCATACCGATATTTCCCATTTCTTTAATTTCATTCATAGTTATAACATTTAGTGAAATATTTGTTGATAATTGTAAGAAGAAAAAAGACACCGTTGTATTAATTTTTGTCACAATATAGCGCAGTATAAAAATGCAAACTAAGTTTACATCTAATATGCAGCACTCATACTGAATTATATTATCATTGTGTCAAAGCGTGACGATAGGTACGAAATATATTTGAACAAATATTGAGTATAGACGATGGAATTACCAAAAAAGTCATTAAAACAACTCAAATAAAAGTTTCCTCTAGTCCAATATTCATTTAGAAGAGACTGCGTGACAAAGATCGTGATGTATGACAAATCCCTTAATCCCACTATTGTTTTATAAAACAATGAAGAACGTCAACAAAAGCTTTCGCATAGCGTACAATCATCTGGCGAAATAGCAAGCACAAAATTAACATTTTTGATAATTTTACTACGTCCGTCCAAACATTTCAATTGAAAAAAGACCAAACGAAAAACATAAAGAGGGGATTCGGCTTCATGCTCAAGAAATTTAAAAAGATTCTTTGGACAGGTTTTTGAGATACGACGTTCGACATTGGTATCCGTCAGATGGGCAAACTAGCACTAAAACTACACTTTAAGTATTCTGGCTCTGCCTCAGCAACGAATTGACGAACAGCGCCCAAACTAAACAGGAATGTAGGAATAGGAACAAAGTTCACTAGCGCAGAAATCGAATGATCTACATGCAATAGAAATTGACATAACAGTTTTTAACTTTGAGCTTGAGTTTTTAATTTGAAAAAGCCTGCTCCGTGTATACGAGATCATATTTTAAGTTGCGCTCGACATAATTCGTCTAAAATTTTCACACACATTTGTAATACCACTAATAACAAGGTTCAGAAATATTTTAGAGAAAATAGGGCTGGTTTGCGAAATATTCAAGTTTAAGTGTTTTCCAGGATTTCCCCATAACTTGAATAAATTACACTCGATTTTCATAAAATCTATATATAACATATTTTGGTCTTTTATCCTTCATTTGACAAAATATTGACCGGATCAAAGCAAAATAAACTGCATTTCGATGCGTTTCTTTCGTCATGGTCGGTACTAAAAACAACTGTCCCCAGATACCTTAA